AGTGGGGGGGGAGAGATCCGGGGGGCCGCGTTGGATCTAAGCCGACGGAGAATTCGCAGGGCAGCCGGCAAAGAAAACAGAAGGGGCGGCCGCAGGAGATGACACGCGCCGATTCCACCAAAGTCACGCCAGGAATGCTGTTTGGTACAAACAGGGCGCTGTGTTGGGCTCGCGCGAGACGCCAGATGGCGCTGGAGGTTCACAGTTGGTGGGTGCCCGTGGAACTGGGCCCCCCTCCCCCCTTTGCGGCTCTCCCTCACGTCCGCCGAGGGCGCGTGGTGTATCCACGATGAACTTCCTTCGCGCCGTACGTAGCCATCCGTGTTCTCCTCCTCTTCCACACGGCCCTCTGCCTCCCTCCCCCCACAGCCAAAGCATGCCAGCTGCACTGGAATGTTTGACCAGGTAAATAGGTCATTGTTGTTGACGTTATTGTTGTTGTTGTTATCAAGTGAACGGCGTTTTTACATTTTGGTCTCTCTCGGGGTGGTGGCCCAGCGGTCGCCGCCTCGCGACGGCCGGCACGGCACGAGCCACAGTCCTGCCGGTCTGGCAACGGGGGCGGCACTTCACTGACACCTTCAATGGTTGTCATTCGTGTGGCGATGATACGACGTCGATACGACGTCGATACGACGTCGTATCGACGACAGTAGGAGCAGCGCAACAACTGCCGTCCCCTTCTCACACGGTGGCGTGGAAGCAGGCGGCGACCGACCACGGCAACCGCTCGCTCCGCCCGGGGGCGGCTCGCCCGTCCGCGCCAACCACGCGGTGGCAGGAGCTCCTGCTCGCGCTGCCCTGCCAGTCACACGACGGGACCCCTGCTGCGCTCATCTCCTGCCTTACAGCCCCGCAGACCCAGCGGTGGAAATTCCACATTGCTATGGCAGAGGCGAGTCTCTCCGTGGGACAACCGCTCTCCATGACCCGAGAGACCGGAGAAGTCTCCTTTGCGACAGTGACCCGGGGAGGACGATCGAGCGAGTCACCTTCCGACCTCGAGCCGCTCGCTCTGCCGCCCGGCAACCCCGCCGCTCGCACGGCCGCAGCCCGGCCGCCGCCCCCCGACCCCGTACCATGCTGACGAGCGCCACGTAGAGGAAGCAGCCCGCGGTGAGCGCGAAGATCCAGAGGGTGAAGGAGCGGAGGTGGCGGCCCACGGCCACGCCGATGGCCATGCCCAGGTAGCCGAGCAGCGCCGACAGGAGGTTGTAGAAGACCGCCCGGCGCAGAGACATCCCGGCCCGCAGCAGCACCGCAAAGTCACCTGGGCGGGGTGAGAACGAGGGGGGGGGGGGGCACGCGCAGAGACAAAGGTGAAGGAGGAGGAGGAGGAGGGGGAGGCGTTCCACGCTCCGTGAGCGGCTCAAGGCCGCCTGGGCGTCTCGCCGGCAGGGAGAGAGGCGCGAGAGGGACGAGGAGCCCTGCTGGGGGGACCGAGTTGGGGTGACGAGGTGGGGAGCGTGGGAGGGTGGGGGGGGCATCATGGGAGGGTGGGGGGGGCGTGGGAGGGTGGGGGGGCATCATGGGAGGGTGGGGGGGGCGTGGGAGGATGGGGGGGGGCGTGGGAGTGTGGGGGGGGCGTGGGAGGGTGGGGGGGGCGTGGGAGTGTGGGGGGGGGGGCATGGGAGGGTGGGGGGGGCGTGGGAGGGTGGGGGGTGGTTGTCTCACCGAGCTCGTGGGGGACCTCGTGGCAGAGCACGGCGATGGAGGTGCTGAGCCCCACCGTGACGCTGCTGCTGAACGCCGCCCCTGCGCAGGTGCGGGCGCCGCATCAGCCACTCGCACAGCAACGACGACGACAACGATGACGACGACAACAATGACGACGACGATGACGACAACAACGACGACAACGATGACGACGACAACAATGACGACGACGACAACGATGACGACGACAATGACGACGACAATGACGACGACGACAACGATGACGACGACAACAATGACGACGACGACAACGATGACGACGACAATGACGACGACAATGACGACGACGATGACGACGACAACAATGACGACGACGACAACGATGACGACGACGATGACGACGACAATGACGACGACGATGACGACGATGACGACGATGACGACGATGACGACGACAATGACGACAACAACAACAACGACGATGGCGACGACGACAACGACGATGACAACGATGGCGTAGACGACAACAACGACAACGACGATGGTCGCCATTCGCCATCGAGCCGTGGCGATGTCTCCACGGCGCTAGTGCCAGGCTAGGTGCGCTTAGAGGTCACGTGAAATGTCGAAGGCTTCGCTGGCAGGAGGTCACGGGACAGACCCAGGTGCCGTGGGTTGACCGAGTAGACTGGCAGATGCACACACCCACGTAAGTATGAAAAAACAAGGCGAGGTTTTACCCTTTCTGCCAATAAAACTGCAGGTGTTAGGACGTTCAAACACCAAATAAGATGTCCAAACACTCACGGACGTGCACACACACACACACACACACGCGCGCGCGGACGCACCGATTGCGAGGCCGTCGGTGAAGTTGTGGAGGCCGTCGCCCATGATGACCATCCAGGCGATGTTGCCGACGCGGCCCGCCTTGCCGAGGGGCGCGTGCGAGTGCCCGCGGTGCTGCTCGAGGCCCCCGCCGTGGGCACGCCCCTCGCGGCGACGCTCCGGGTCCCGGTCTCCTCGCGACACCTTCTCCGCGTCGCTGCCGCCCGAGCGGCACGCTGCGAGACGCGCCGGGGATCAGAGCTCGCCGCTCGCCGCGGCGCAGGGCCGAGAGCGGCGCCCGTCGCAGGACGGAGGAGACGCAAATGGAATGACCGCAAGGCGGTTCTTCTCCACCGGTGGCTTTGTGTACGGCCGAGAGCCGTCGCTACGTGCAGGGGGGCCTCTCTGCGTGTTGGTAATCTGATCGGTCCGTACGACGCCTCTTCCTAACCCTCACCTGCACCGCCCGACACGGCCGAGTCAACCGAGACATCACGTGGCCACAAGCGCCCCTTGAATATTTCCCGGGGTGTTTGCAATCGCCGGCGTGAAATGGAAGGGAATATTTCTGATTTAAAACACCCGGCTGCCGAGTGCGGATCCAAATGCCCAAAACGTCAGGCCGCCGGCGACAATCAGCACCGTCAAAGTCGTACGTGGTGGAGGGGCATAACGCTTTGTTGAACCGAGCAAGGAACCCGCCCCACCATCACCCGCCCGCCATCACCCGCCCCACCATCACCCACCCACCATCACCCACCCACCATCACCCGCCCACCATCACCCACCCACCATCACCCACCCACCATCACCCACCCACCATCACCAGCCCCACCATCACCCGCCCGCCATCACCCACCCACCATCACCCGCCCACCATCACCCACCCACCCACCATCACCCACCCACCATCACCCACCCACCATCACCAGCCCCACCATCACCCGTCCACCATCACCCGCCCACCATCACCCACCCACCATCACCCGTCCACCATCTCCCACCCACCATCACCCACCCACCATCACCCACCCACCATCACCCGCCCACCATCACCGACCCACAGCCATCATTCCCCCCCCCCCCCCCTCATTGGCACCCTCCCACAACTATCCTCACCTGCGTCAACTTTGAGCTCCAACTCCTCGCAGGGCGGCGCCTTCTCTCCTCCCTCGCGCACCTCCCGGGCCTCTCTCTTCTGCAAGGACACAGGGGCGGCGTCATCACCGCGGCGTCATCACCGCGGCGTCATCACCGCGGCGTCATCACCACGGCGTCATCAGCACGGCGTCATCAGCACGGCGTCATCAGCACGGCGTCATCAGCACGGCGTCATCACCGCGGCGTCATCACCGCGTCGTCATCACCGCGGCGTCATCACCGCGGCGTCATCACCGCGACGTCATCACCACGGCGTCATCAGTACGGCGTCATCAACGCGGCGTCATCAGCACGGCGTCATCACCGAGTCGTCATCACCGCGGGGTCATCACCGCGGCGTCACGACATCATCGTGCAACCGAGGCCGTCTACACATTCCCTGCCGCCAGGCAGTGGCGGACTCCGGTCCCATTATCAACTTGTAACGCGCAAGTTGAGCAACACGTCGCCTCCGCACAGGGGCCTCTCCATGAGGACCCACATCCACTCGAGTGAGGTCCTCGCCTAGCAACAGCATTGGTTCAGGCAAGCCTGACTGCTGATGAGATGCCGAATGTTGAAACTGGTCCAGACTTGAACCAATGGTGCTGAAAAAATGTCCCCAAACATGCGAAGCAAAAACACCGCGGGACACAAGTGGGACAGACGCATGGGACACACGGACGGGACACACGGACGGGACACACGGACGGGACAGATCCGCGGGACGGACGTGCGCGCCTGTTGGCTTGCCTTCTCTTCGCGCCGGACGCGCAGCAGGGGCAGCAGACTGTCCAGGAGGAACATGAGGTAGACGCCTCCGAGCGCCGCCATCCCCTTGCCCAGCGGCAGCAGCTGCTCGACGAGGCCGCTCGTCCAGTCCCCGCCGGCCCCTCCCGGCTTGTGCCCGTGTCCTCCGCCCTGCGCCTGCATCCCCGCAGCAGCGTGACGCGCCACCTTCAGGGAGGCGCTCGGCTCGGTGCGCGACGGCGTCGGGGAGGAAGGGGCGCCGGCGTTTTACCGGGCCCCAGTCGGGGATTCGAAGCCCCAAGCCAGGATGGTGGCCGGACGACTCGGAGCCAAGAGCTCCGAGCCGGTCGTGCTCGGGGCTCGGCCAAGGTTAGGCCGTGACCCGGGTGACGTTAAGCCTTTGTCACGGCTACCGACGATCACGGCTGCGGAAGATCATCGATGCGATGCGACCGTCGGTGGGGACTGTGTACGTGGAGAGGAGGGGGGGATAGGGGGGTAGGGAGGGGTAGGGGGGGGTAGGGAGGGGTAGGGGGGGTCCTCACGTGGGGGAGCAGGTGCAGCAGAGCGTCGCCGCTCAACGTCCCGACGGCCAGCGCCACCAGGAAGCCCAGCATGCTGGACAGCGCGTCGGGCGACAGGGCCGGGATGAAGGCGGCGGCCAGCAGGGAGAGCAGCGAGATGGCCGTGATGGCAAGGAAGCCCCAGCCCCAGGCGGCCGCACCTGCCACACGGAGCGGATGTCAAACGCGGACGCGTCGCTCTCTCCACTGCTCTCTCCACCGCTCTCTCCACCGCCCTCTCCACCGCTCTCTCCACCGCTCTCTCCACCGCTCTCTCCACCGCTCTCTCCACCGCTCTCTGCACCGCTCTCTCTACCGCTCTCTCCACCGCTCTCTCCACCGCCCTCTCCACCGCTCTCTCCACCGCTCTCTCCACCGCTCTCTCCACCGCCCTCTCCACCGCTCTCTCCACCGCTCTCTCCACCGCTCTCTCCACCGCCCTCTTCCACCGCTCTCTCCACCGCCCTCTCCACCGCCCTCTGCACCGCTCTCTCCACCGCTCTCTCCACCGCTCTCTGCACCGCTCTCTCCACCGCTCTCTCCACCGCTCTCTGCACCGCTCTCTCCACCGCTCTCTCCACCGCTCTCTCCACCGCTCTCTCCACCGCTCTCTCCACCGCTCTCTCCACCGCTCCCTCCACCGCTCTCTGCACCGCTCTCTCCACCGCTCTCTCCACCGCTCTCTCCACCGCTCTCTCCACCGCTCTCTGCACCGCTCTCTCCACCGCTCTCTCCACCGCTCTCTGCACCGCTCTCTCCACCGCTCTCTCCACCGCTCTCTCCACCGCTCTCTCCACCGCTCTCTCCACCGCTCTCTCCACCGCTCCCTCCACCGCTCTCTGCACCGCTCTCTCCACCGCTCTCTCCACCGCTCTCTCCACCGCTCTCTGCACTGCTCTCTCCACCGCTCTCCGCACCGCTCTCTCCACCGCTCTCTCCACCGCTCTCTCCACCGCTCTCTCCACCACTCTCTCCACCGCTCTCTCCACCGCTCTCCGCACCGCTCTCTCCACCGCTCTCTCCACCGCTCTCTCCACCACTCTCTCCACCGCTCTCTCCACCATGCTCGCATCGCACCGTCGCCCATGACCGCGTCGACTCCTCGCTCCGCCGAGCAGCACCCGTCGTGTGACCGCGGTCACTCTCGCACACGAGGAGCGCCCCGCTACCCGGGAGCTCTCGCCCGGTTCAACCGAGCGGCGTCGTTGCTGAAAGCCTCGCGTTGCCTTGTAAGCCGCGCGACGCTCACGCCGGCACCGTGCCAGCGGAGTGCGCCCGGAAGCCAAGCAGGCCCGGGCCTGGCCGGCATGTGGACGGGCGGCCGCCAGCCATAAACACGCGCGCGCTGGAAGCCGGCGCCGCCGTTGCTGCGGCGCTATCTTGTCAGGAGTAGGGAGCACGGTAAAACTGCACGTCGTTGTACTGTTCTATGCACCAACGGCTATGCTCCCCACAAATAATAATCCCTTCCCGTAACGCGCCGCCGCACGGTACTCCGCTCCTCACCGGTGTCGGGGGCGGTGGCGGCGCCGCTTGCGCCGTGGCGGTCGTGCTGCTGCTTGACGCAGACGCGGCTGTCGATCTGGTACAGCATCGCCGGGCACAGGAAGATGAACTGGTCCTGGTTGACGCCGGAAGCCGACGACATGCCGTAGTTCCACAGCAGCGTGGTGATGTTCATGCACTGCGGGCGCACGCGAGACGCCGCGGCGAGGCCGGGTCACGCGGCGAGGCCGGGTCACGCGGCGGCGGCTCCATTTGGTCGTGAGAGCCGCCCTCCGACTCGACGGCGCGCGATCTCGACCGACGATGGGCGAGCGCGACCTCACTTGAGTTAAATATTTAAAAGATGATTTTGTAACGTACTCTACGTAACGCGATTTGCTGCCACTTGTTTTCCTTCATTATGTATTTACTTTATTTATATTCTTCTTGCGACCTGTTATGTACGTTGCGTTTGCCGGGGAACCGTTGCTTTTGTTGGTGAAACACCGATTCAAGAGCTTCTTCGTAGCTCACAGGGTACTTCAAAATAAGCTGAACTAAAACTCAACTGATCGACCGCAACCACGTCGGAGCCACGCGCACCCGTACGCCACGTGGCCCCGTGCTCGGTTTGCCCGTGTCGGGCGGTGAAGGGTCTACCCTAAAGAAATCGTTTTGGCCGGATCGTTACGTGGCCCCATAACGACGAGTCGCACGCGAGTGGCGACCGGTGAAGAAAACAACAACGGGAAGCTTGAGAGCGTGAGTTCGATACGCGAGCGAGGGTGCCTCGCTGTAGTACACACAAACACGTGTGCGCATGTGTGGGAATTTGGGAAGCGGTAGCGTAGCGGTGAGCGCGCTGCGCTACAAAGCCGGCGACCCGAGTTCGATTCCCGCTCACGGCCAACCCCCGGTGACGATTAGCTGAACCGGGCCTGGCCCTCCACTAAGTCGATTCAGCCTTAATTGAGTACCTGGTGAGATGTGTAAAAACATCGCCACTGGGGAGACAAAGGCGGGCGGGCGTGGTGCTGGCCACTCACCGCCTCGTGTGCCGTTCCGGCCTTCGTAGGTGCTGCTACAATCTAGCAGCACTGCTACTATCTAGCAGCACTTGCCCCTACGGTCTGTAACAGGCTATACGAGGGATCTTTGTTATCTTTGTGGGAATTAAGTGTCTCCATAGCAGTCGGGCTCTGAAATACATAACCCTGACCCGTGAACTCGGGACGCGGCAGCTCATGTGACCACGCGGAGATCATGTGAGAGCACTGCGAGCGCCACATGACGGCGTGGCCTCTGCGGGAATGCTCGCTGCGAGCTTGGGGAAAAACAAAGCTTCGCCCTCATTCCAATTCTTTGTTGTTGATTGCAGGAGCGATGTCCACAGCCTGGACAGGAAGCCTCTCTGTTCTGCGTTCCCCAGCAGCGGAGGCTCACCATGATGAACTCGTGTGGCTCGCGGACTCGTTGACTCGCTGACTTGCGGACTCGTGGACTCATGGACTCACGGACTCATGGACACACGGACTCGTGTGACTCACGACAGTCGAGAAACGTGCACTTGCCACCAAACATTGTCCGGGGTTTTCACCTGTTCATGTGGAGCAAGGTAGAAACCACGAAGGGTAAAGGCGCAGCCCGTAGTAACTCGCTTGCTCCACTGCTGGCGGAGGGAGCCCTGGAGAGCCCCTCTGGGAAAAAAAAAATTGTGGGCCTACTCTTCCACGCCGGCCAGATGTTTTGGGAGAGGTGGGAGTACCCACACTTTACCCCACCACGTGCGACCTGCCGACACACTAACTGTGGTCTACCCCTTTGTGTGGCGGGGGAGGAGGGAATTCAATCTCACCTCTTCGTGAATGTGGCCGTGATCTCCCGACAAGCCCAGCGACGCGAGGTAGTCCTGGACCGCCGTCCGGCTTTGCTTCTCCGCGGCTCCCCAGGCCCCACCGCCGTGGGGCACCTCCCGGGCGCCGCGGGCGCCTCTCGGCGCGCCTCTCGGGGGCCCTCGCCAATCCCCGGCGCCGCCCGTCGGGGCCGCGGTCCGTGGCCCGACATCCCCCGCGCCGTCGGTGGCGCTCGACGAGCCGCCCCTGCGGCGGTCCATCGGCCCGAGGAGGCCGTCGTGGCCAGCTCGACGCCCGGCGTCGCCGTCGCCCCGATCGCGGCCGTGATCGCGGTCGTGGTCCTGATCGTTCTCCTGGTCGTGGTCCTGATCGTGATCTTCATCGTGATCGTGATCTTCTTCCTGATCTTCGAGCACCCGGATCTCACCGATGCCCAGGTTGACGAGCAGCTTCTGCAGGGCATCGAGGGAGAGGTGCCCCTCCTGGCCGTAGCGCGTGAACAGTCGCTGCAGGTAGTACTTCTGCTCGTACACGGCCATGGGCAGGTCCGGCACGGCGGCGGCGGTGCCGACCTCCCCTAGGCCTCCCGCGCCCGCCGAGGACGTGGGCCGCTCGTGCGGAGCGGCGCAGCGCGCCGGCGCGCCCTGCAGCAGCAGCAGCAGCGCCAGCAGCAGCGGCGGCACAACCACGGAGCGGAAGGCGCTGCCCAGAGTCTCCTCCATGTTCGCGGCGCTGAAAGCAAAACGCAGGGCGGGGGGAGAGACGGCGGCGGATACGAGGGAGATGGGCGAGAGGCAGCTGCGACTGCAGACTGAACACCTGTGAACCGTAGCCCCTACAACGCACGCGTGCGATGTCGGGGCCACGGTTCGTCAAGGAGCATTAAACCATCGTCGCGCAAACTCCGGTCATCCCCGCAGCAGCGGCTCCTGGCTGGCCATCAAACAAAGACGGTCGCCGCGTCGCGCGATTTTAGATGCCCTTCTGCGGCCGTCTGGAACGTTCTTCCTTCCGATATTAGGAAGCCACTGGAGCTGTGCACTTTTAAATCATCGTATAGATTAAAAACTCATTTCTGCAGAACTATATTTGTGTTTAGTGTTGTTGCCCTCCCCCCGCACCCACTATTAGCACGGTTAGCTGCGTACCGTGCAAAAGAAGTTCAACATACGTACAGAGAGAGAGAGAGAGGGACGACTCTGCGGGAAAGGAAGGCACGTTGCCGGGCCAAGTGCTTAGTCATCTGGTGCTGAGAGGTTTCTCTCAGTCGCACTCCTTCGTTGTGCACCGCAAGGCCGTTACCGCCGACCCGGGTGAATGTTCAATCGCAGGTGAAAGTTCCCGTCCAGCGGCGTGCCGCTCAGCAGGGTTCACCCACGGTTCGCCCCCCGCAGGATCCGCTACGGACGCATCCGCTGGCTCTCGCACGCTGCCAGGAGCCCTGGCAGCGCACGAGTCGATGCCGCCGGGACTCCCAGATGGGGCCGCGTGTACGGCCGATGGGTTGTCGGGGAAACCCTTGGTAATGATTTGTGTACGTGGAGAGAGGGATTTGTGAATGAGACGACGAATTGTCCGCCTATTTATTTGGTGAGGCTAATTAAGGCATTTTGCTGGGGGGTAAAGCAAATTGGACATGAGTATAATTACGCGCTTTGCATGGATAAAGCGCAGAGAAGTGGCAGAGTGGGAAGCGCAGTCGGTGCATCGGCCAGCCAGTCAACCCCGGGCACCTGGATCTGTCCCCGTGACCTCCAGCGTGGCCTCACAGTGCACCGAGCGTGCCACCAGCGACGCGGGAAGCCAGGAACGATCCGGCACCCTCGCCCACGTTAACAATGGGCAATCAGTCTCACTGTCCATGGTAATCACACTGTCTTACTGTCCATGGTAAACACACTGTCTTACTGTCCATGGTAAACACACTGTCTTACTGTCCATGGTAAACACAGTCTTACTGTCCATGGTAAACACACTCAGTCTTACTGTCCATGGTAAACACAGTCTTACTGTCCATGGTAAACACAGTCTTACTGTCCATGATAAACACACTGTCTTACTGTCCATGGTAAACACAGTCTTACTGTCCATGGTAAACACACTCAGTCTTACTGTCCATGGTAAACACAGTCTTACTGTCCATGGTAAACACACTCAGTCTTACTGTCCATGGTAAACACAGTCTTACTGTCCATGGTAAACACACTCAGTCTTACTGTCCATGGTAAACACACTCAGTCTTACTGTCCATGGTAAACACACTGTCTTACTGTCCATGGTAAACACACTCAGTCTTACTGTCCATGGTAAACACACTCAGTCTTACTGTCCATGGTAAACACAGTCTCACTGTCCATGGTAAACACACTGTCTTACTGTCCATGGTAAACACACTGTCTTACTGTCCATGGTAAACACACTCAGTCTTACTGTCCATGGTAAACACACTCAGTCTTACAGTCCATGGTAAACACAAGGTAAACACTGTCTTACAGTCCAAGGTAAACACACTCAGTCTTACAGTCCAAGGTAAACACACTCAGTCTCACAGTCCAAGGTAAACACACTGTCTTACAGTCCAAGGTAAACACAAGGTAAACACTGTCTTACAGTCCATGGTAAACACAAGGTGAACACACTGTCTTACAGTCCAAGGTAAACACACCCAGTTTTACAGTCCAAGGTAAACACAAGTTAAACACACTGTCTTACAGTCAATGGTAAACACAAGGTAAACACTGTCTTACAGTCCATGGTAAACACAAGGTAACACACACTCAGTCTTACAGTCCATGGTAAACACAATCAGTCTCACAGTCCAAGGTAAACACACTCAGTCTTACAGTCCAAGGTAACACACACTCAGTCTTACAGTCCAAGGTCAACACACTGTCTTACAGTCAATGGTAAACACACTCAGTCTTAAAGTCCAAGGTAAACACAATCCGTCTTACAGTCCAAGGTAAACACACTCAGTCTTACAGTCCAAGGTAACACACACTCAGTCTTACAGTCCAAGGTCAACACACTGTCTTACAGTCCAAGGTAAACACACTCAGTCTTACAGTCCATGGTAAACACACTCAGTCTTGCTGTCCATGGTAAACACACTCAGTCTTACAGTCCATGCTAAACACACTCAGTCTTACTGTCCATGGTAAACACACTGTCTTACTGTCCATGGTAAACACACTCAGTCTTACTGTCCGTGGTAAACACACTGTCTTACTGTCCATGGTAAACACACTCAGTCTTAGGTAAACACACTCAGTCTTACAGTCCAAGGTAAACACACTCAGCCTTACAGTCCAAGGTAAACACACTCAGTCTTACAGTCCAAGGTAAACACACTCAGTCTTACAGTCCAAGGTAAACACACTCAGTCTTACAGTCCAAGGTAAACACAAGCTAAACACACTGTCTTACAGTCCATAGTAAACACAAGGTAAACACTGTCTTGCAGTCCATGGTAAAGACAAGGTGAACACACTGTCTTACAGTCCAAGGTAAACACACTCAGTCTTACAGTCCATGGTAAACACAAGTTAAACACACTGTCTTACAGTCCAAGGTAAACACACTCAGTCTTACAGTCCAAGGTAAACACACTCAGTTTTACTGTCCAAGGTAAACACACTCAGTCTTACAGTCCAAGGTAAACACACTCAGTCTCACAGTCCATGGTAAACACAATCAGTCTCACAGTCCAAGGTAAACACAAGTTAAACACACTCAGTCTTACAGTCCAAGGTAAACAAACACAGTCTTACAGTCCAAGGTAAACACACTCAGTCTTACAGTCCAAGGTAAACACAATCAGTCTCACAGTCCAAGGTAAACACACTCAGTCTTACAGTCCAAGGTAAACACACTCAGTCTTACAGTCCAAGGTAAACACACACAGTCTTACAGTCCAAGGTAAACACACTCAGTCTTAAAGTCCAAGGTAAACACACTCAGTCTTACAGTCCAAGGTAAACACACTCAGCCTTACAGTCCAAGGTAAACACACTCAGTCTTACAGTCCAAGGTAAACACAAGGTAAACACTGTCTTACAGTCCATGGTAAACACAAGGCAAACACTGTCTTACAGTCCAAGGTAAACACACTCAGTCTTACAGTCCAAGGTAAACACACTCAGTCTTACTGTCCATGGTAAACACACTCAGTCTTACTGTCCATGGTAAACACACTCAGTTTTACAGTCCAAGGTAAACACAATCAGTCTTACAGTCCAAGGTAAACACACTCAGTCTTACAGTCCAAGTACACACACTCAGTCTTACAGTCCAAGGTAAACACAAGGTAAACACTGTCTTACAGTCCATGGCAAACACAAGGCAAACACTGTCTTACAGTCCAAGGTAAACACACTCAGTCTTACAGTCCAAGGTAAACACACTCAGTCTTACTGTCCATGGTAAACACACTCAGTCTTACTGTCCATGGTAAACACACTCAGTCTTACAGTCCAAGGTAAACACAATCAGTCTTACAGTCCAAGGTAAACACACTCAGTCTTACAGTCCAAGGTAAACACACTCAGTCTTACAGTCCAAGGTAAACACAATCAGTCTTACAGTCCAAGGTAAACACACTCAGTCTTACAGTCCAAGGTAAACACAATCAGTCTTACAGTCCAAGGTAAACACACTCAGTCTTACAGTCCAAGGTAAACACAATCAGTCTTACAGTCCAAGGTAAACACAATCAGTCTTACAGTCCAAGGTAAACACACTCAGTCTTACAGTCCAAGGTAAACACAATCAGTCTTACAGTCCAAGGTAAACACACTCAGTCTCATAGCCAAAGGTAAACACACTGTCTTACAGTCCAAGGTAAACACACTCAGTCTTACTGTCCATGGTAAACACACTCAGTCTTACAGTCCATGGTAAACACACTCAGTCTTACAGTCCAAGGTAAACACACTCAGCCTTACAGTCCAAGGTAAACACACTCAGTCTTACAGTCCATGGTAAACACACTCAGTCTTACTGTCCATGGTAAACACACTCAGTCTTACTGTCCAAGGTAAACACACTCAGTCTTACAGTCCAAGGTAAACACAAGCTAAACACACTGTCTTACAGTCAATGGTAAACACAAGGTAAACACTGTCTTGCAGTCCATGGTAAACACAAGGTAAACACAGTCTTACAGTCCATGGTAAACACAAGGTGAACACACTGTCTTACAGTCCAAGGTAAACACAGTCTTACAGTCCATGGTAAACACAAGGTGAACACACTGTCTTACAGTCCAAGGTAAACACACTCAGTCTTACAGTCCATGGTAAACACAAGTTAAACACACTGTCTTACAGTCAATGGTAAACACAAGGTAAACACTGTCTTACAGTCCATGGTAAACACACAGTCCAAGGTAAACACAAGGTAAACACAGTCTTACAGTCCAAGGTAAACACAAGGTAAACATAAGGTAAACACAGTCTTACAGTCCAAGGTAAACACAAGGTAAACACAGTCTTACAGTCCATGGTAAACACTGTCTTACAGTCCATGGTAAACACAAGGTAAACAGTCTTACAGTCCAAGGTAAACACAAGGTAAACACAGTCTTACAGTCCAAGGTAAACACAAGGTAAACACAAGGTATACACAGTCTTACAGTCCAAGGTAGAGCAGTAAATAAGGTTCAGGGGTGGCGGCCCCGGGTAATCTCCATTGACGAATGTGCGGAATGTTGGGAATGTTGGGAATGTTATCCAGCGAAGCCTTGAATTAAAACACAAATATGTCTTTTGTTGTTTGCTCGAAACGCAGCCTCCACCGGTAGCAATCCCCTCCCTCTTACCGAGCATCAGAAGACCGCGCGAGACTGCAGCACTTCATGGCAGCTCTTGGCATTCCGCAGAGGGGGCGATTGGTAAAAATGCTGACTACGAGGGGCATCAAGTCAGGCTGACGATGGGCAAAGTCGTTTCTCACGCACGTCAGGCGCTGTCTTTATTGGGGTGGCTGGATCCTTGTACCCACTGCACACGTGGTCCCACACACACTCATTCACAGGCACGCTCAGTGCAGGCCTAGGCCAATCCACGGCCAGGTGAGTGTCCACTCCACAATTCTCGTCTTTTGTTTCCACTTTCCTCTGTCTAGTGCCAATATTCTCAAGTGGTGGCCACACGTTTCTGGCACCAGTCACTGCTGATGTCGTCTAGCCATTCTCTGTGAGGTCTTCCTCAAGTTAGTTGGCCGCTAACACCTGTAGACAGAGACGGTTGCACCCGATTCAAGAGCCGAATGGCTCACAGGGCTATACCAAATAAATGAAACTATGAACTATGAAACTAAGTAAGTTGGCCGCTAACACCTGGAGACAGAGACGACTGCAGAGCTTGGGGGCACCGGCTGCCTGCCTGGCCGCTGCCTGTGGTTCCACCTCGAACTTCTTTTGCACCGTACGTAGCCAACCGTGCTAATCGGAGGTTCTCGCTCTTGCACAGCGAGCGAGTACGGTGCGGTGGAGGAGGTGGTGCATTCCAAGTTGGCGTGGTTGTTGCTTGGTGGTTGTGAGCCTCGTGGTGCCCCCCCCCCCAACACACACAGCTACTACGCCACACACTCACCGTTCCACCCGGGTTGAGTGGGGGGGAATGGCTCGCACAGCGGGCACGGCAAGCACGACGGGCACGACGGGCACGACGGACACAGTGGGCACGGCAGCCACGGCGGGCACGCGTGTCTTCCGCCTCTTGCCTCCTTCTCACCGCTGTCAGAATCGGTGAGAGTTCGTCTGCATTCAACCGTTTCCCTAACGATGCTGATTTAATTGTATTTATTTATTCATGCTCGTTTACCCAGGAAAGGCTCCAGACTTTTTCACGAGGGCCCTGCCAAGCTCTTGCAGTCGGTGGAGCAATTCTGCTGCTGCTGCTGCTGTGTATGACCCCAATGGAGCAATTTGCAGGTAAATCTTCAGCTTTGGGATGTTTGGCCAATGCCGCTCACACTACGCGTGTTCCCTGAGCTATGGGAGGAGCACATGGAGAAACAGGAGAACACCCATGCAGGGCAGGGGGAGAGAACACACAAACCCCACGCAGAAAGGTGCCCGAGCCAGGAATCGAACCCAGAATGTTCTTGGTGCGAGGCGCGAGCGTTACCCCTGGGGGTCACCCACCCTGACGCCCAGAGGTCTCTGCCACGTGGCCGATTTCATTTCATTTCAAAATAAAACGCTGCGAGAGGCGCGGTGCCGCAGCGACGGAGAATCCGCGGAGGGTTCCCCCCCCACCACCGCTCACGTCGGGGCCCACGAGAACCGCAGAGTTCATCCTGGGAGCTCAAATCCGGCGCAGCAAGGACGGCGGCTGCCGGGAGGCGGCTGTGGGGAGAGGGCGAGTGCCACGGCCAACGTGGCCCTGCGCCGTGTGCCGTGTGCAAGCGGGGACTTTGACTTGACTCGGATTTAGGTTGAGGGTTTCACAAACCGCAAAAAGCCGGGGCGCGTCACGGCGACCTGGCCCGGTGGCAGCACGCCAGGCGCCCTGGGCCCCTTCGTTAAACCCCGCCCGGTCTGCCTCGTCGCCGGGCCTTCGACAAGTCTCGGGCCAATGTGAAAACGACGTCGGGGCCAATATCTGTTTGCCTCTATATCCTTGGCGCTCAAAGAGTGAGAGCTATAATTTAGAATCACGTGAAAGCCAAAGAGTATGGATTCCTGCAGTCACGAAAGCTTCAAATCAAGAAGCGAAAGCCAATTGCGATAGTGTCGGCCTTGTAAGGAAGACAGAGAGTTCAGGAGATGTACACGCTAAGACCGTGGCCGTATCGATAAGAGTGCGAACAGAAGAAGACTGGCCTGGATCTCCCCCAGGTGAAGGAACCCTAAATAGGTCATCGCCGACGCGCATTGTCTGTATGGCTCAACTCAGCCGCTCGTCATTCCCAAGGGCTCTTGGTACTTTCTAGTCACCGCGGGAGGGAGGGTGGAGGTCACTCACTGCGGTCCCAGGCCAGTGTGGGACACTTTGCAGGTTGGCCTGGCCTGCTCCATGACCACAACGATGCGGCCAGCGCACGGCCACGGGAGGCCGGCATTCTCGCCGCGATCACGAGCGTAACAAATCGACGTTGTAGCAATTAGCGGCGGGCGGGCGCGGTGATTTCGGCACAGCGCTACGAGCCCGGCGAAAGCGGTTCGCGATTCCCGTCCATGGCCAACACCAGCGGCGAGAGATGCATCCCATCCGGGCCCGGCCCTCCTACCCCGCACCGCACGGTCAAGTCTGGGCCAAACAGCCGCAGCGCCTTGCGGTAGAAGCTCGCATCCAGCAGCGGCTGTACGGTGGGTTTTTTTTGGTCGTTTTACCGACCAGTGGCGCAAGACGTCCACGCAAACGAAGTTGTAAATCAACGACGGCAAACCCACCCGAGTGGCTCGCCAAGGGCACTTTACCCGTCGGTGGTGATGGACAGAATGAGCGAGGGAGGTGTGGTGTTTATTAAATGTATTTTGTTTGCCGTGAGAGCAGATTTAGTTTTGATTCGGTGGCAGCGGCTCTGTGGAAATACGGAGATCGCCCATCTTGGCCAAGGCTGGCGGTCCCACCTCGCGATCCCACCTCAGGATCCCACATCGCGATCCCACATCGTGATCCCACCTCGCGATCCTACCTCGCGATCCCACCTCGCGATCCCACCTCACGATCCTACCTCGTGATCCCACCTCGCGATCCCACCTCACGATCCCACCTCACGATCCCACCTCAGGATCTCACATCGCGATCCCACATCGTGATCCCACCTCACGATCCTACCTCGCGATCCCACCTCACGATCCCACCTCACGATCCCACCTCAGGATCCCACATCGCGATCCCACATCGTGATCCCACCTCGCGATCCTACCTCGCGATCCCACCTCGCGATCCCACCTCACGATCCTACCTCGTGATCCCACCTCGCAATCCCACCTCACAATCCCACCTCACGATCCCACCTCACGATCCCACCTCGCGATCCCACCTCGCGATCCCACCTCACGATCCCACCTCACGATCCCACCTCACGATCCTACCGGCAATACCAGCGTGCAATCCCACGTCGCAATCCCACGTCGCAATCCCACCGTGCAATTCAATGTCGCAATCCCACCATGCAATCCCACCTCGCAATTCTCCCTTCTCCATCCCCCCACACAATCTTCCCCTCTCAATCCTGCCTTGTAATCCCACCTCGCAGTCTTCCTCTCTCAATCCACCTCTCAATCCTCCCCCCCCTCTCCATCTCACCTCGCAATCCCATCCCCACCCAGTCCCTCTCCTGCATCAAGCCGTGGCTCTATCAGGTTCGCGTGTTCCCCACTCCGTCTGAACGATGATCGCGGGTCTCCGGGTGTGATATTGGCCATCGCGCTCCGGACCCGGCAACCCGTGTGGGATTCCCGCTCACAAACAACGAGTGACGACGATCTGAACCGGTCCTGGGCCTGCCCCTTGGTCGACTCAGCCTTAAAGCCAGTGTGGTGGTGTGTGCGGACAGCAGCACTTTGAACACGAACGTGGCGGGACGGACGTAGGTCCACGAGTGGCCACGGGTCCCTTCGCGCGACACCCCGGGCTGACGTCACACCGGTGGCTCGCTAACAGCACTTGCCCCGGCGAGCCTGTGTGGACTACAGGGGGATCTTTGACTTTTGTGTGTGAGCGGGGTACCTCGTGGTGGGGGTGGTCGTAGTCGGGTGCGGAGTGCAACAAAATTTAATTAGGGGTTTTTTTTTTCGAGAGAGCTCATTTGCATGCACGTGGTGCGCGAAACGTCGGACATGGCGCCGAACAATAAATAACACGCGGGCATCGACGCAGAAACCCGCACGCACCTGCGAGCGGCATGCAGGCGCTCGGTGGGCCGTCCCTACCTGTGGGCGTTCACTTGTCCTGGCACGGCCGCCACCACCTCTACCTGGGCACCTCACCTGGGCACCCCACCTGGGCACCTCACCTGGGCACCTCCACCTGGGCACCTCACCTGGGCACCTCACCTGGGCGGCAGCGGAGACAGAGACGCCGACGACGACGACGCCGTTAGCGCACAGGAGGAGCGAGCCGCGTGCACGTGGAGACACAGAGAGAGACACAGAGAGAGAGACGTAGAGAGAGACACAGAGAGAGAGAGAGACACCGAGAGAGACACACAGAGAGACACAGAGAGAGAGAAACACAGAGAGAGAGAGAGACACAGAGAGAGAGAGAGACAGAGAGAGAGAGAGACACAGAGAGACACAGAGAGAGACACAGAGAGAGAGAGACAGAGAGAGACACCGAGAGAGAGACACAGAGAGAGACACAGAGAGAGAGACGCAGAGAGAGACACAGAGAGAGAGACACAGAGAGAGACGCAGATAGAGAGACACAGAGAGACACAGAGAGAGAGACACAGAGAGAGAGACGCAGAGAGAGACACAGAGAGAGACACAGAGAGAGAGAGACGCAGAGAGAGAGAGACACACAGAGACACAGAGAGAGAGAGACACACAGAGAGAGGCACACAGAGAGACACAGAGAGAGATACAGAGAGAGACACAGAGAGAGACACAGAGAGAGACACAGAGAGAGAGACACAGAGAGAGAGACACAGAGAGACACAGAGAGAGACACAGAGAGAGAGACACAGAGAGAGAGACACAGAGAGAGAGACAGAGAGAGACACAGAGAGAGACACAGAGAGAAAGACACAGAGAGAGACACAGAGAGAGACACACAGAGAGAGACACAGAGAGACACAGAGAGAGAGACACAGAGAGAGACACAGAGAGAGACACAGAGAGAGAGACACAGAGAGAGAGACACAGAGAGAGACACAGAGAGAGAGAGACACAGAGAGAGACACAGAGAGAGAGACACAGAGAGAGACACAGAGAGAGACACAGAGAGAGAGACACAGAGAGAGAGACACAGAGAGAGACACAGAGAGAGACACAGAGAGAGACACAGAGAGAGAGACACAGAGAGAGAGACACAGAGAGAGAGACACAGAGAGAGAGACACAGAGAGAGAGACACAGAGAGAGACACAGAGAGACACAGAGAGAGACAGAGAGAGAGACAGAGAGAGAGACACCGAGAGAGAGACACAGAGAGAGACACAGAGAGAGACACAGAGAGAGAGAGACACAGAGGCATTAGAGCCTTTCCTGAATCTCATAAGGCGGAGACTCAGCGGCCTGGTGCTGAGGGAACCAAGCGTCAAGTTGGTCCTGACGGCATACGCCGACGACGTCCTCCTCATCCTGCGCTCCCTGGCTGATGTCACCCTGCTGCACGAGTGCCAGGAGGTCTTTTCGAAAGCCTCCTCATCAAAAATGAACTGGCAAAAGTGCAGCGGCCTGCTGGTTGCAGCGTGGGACATGACCGAGTGTCCCGAGAAGGCAAAAGCCATCAATTGGAGCACAACATCGCTGCACCACTTGGGAGTGTTCCTCGGACCAGAGGAGGAACCACCGCAGAGGAACTGGGTCGAGCTGGAGGAGAGGGTGAAGGAGCGGCTGGCCACCTGGAGTCGCCTGTGCAAGTTCCTCACCTTCAGGACAAAGACGTTGGTGGTGAACCAGCTGGTGACGTCCATGCTGTGGCACCGACTCTTCTCCCTGCACCCCCCCCATGAGCCTCGTCAACGCACTTCAGAAGCGAGTCCTCGACTTCTTCTGGTCGGGTGGAGGAAACTGGGTCGCGGCTGGGGTCCTGGCCTGCCACTGGACGAGGGCGGTCACGGGCTGGTGTGCGTGCGGAGTCAGCTGGCCACCTTCCGACTGCAGGCAGCGCAAAAGTTCCTGCATGCCGCCCATGCACCGGCCTGGAGCGTCACGGCCTCCTTCCTCCTGAAACAGCTGGGGGGTCTGCAGTGCTCCAAGCAACTATTCTACATGGACCTGCAGGGCCTCCCACTGAGACAGCTGCCACCCTTCTACAGAAGCGTCCTGCAGACATGGAGCTCCCTCGCCGTCAGGAGGCTGAACCAACCGCGATCAGCCGAGGATCTGGTCTTCGAACCGATCCTCAGGAACCCACAGACAAAGCTGCCATCCACCACCACCACTGGCATGGAGAGGCGCCTCGCCAACGCGCGGCTCACCAGGATGGGAGATCTGGTGGAGCCTGAAACACGGGGCCAGTGGCTCGGACCAGCAGACGTGGCCGCAAAGACAGGGCTGCAGTCGCTCCGGGTGGCTGCCCGGATCCTGGCCAAAGCCAAGGGGGCCTTCTCAGCGGCAGCGGGGAGAACGTCCCCATCGGCATTGGGGATGACGAGGCCCCTCTCGACCCCCCTCCACCGGAGCTCTCAGTCGTGCCACTGCCGACAAACGAAGGCGGATCACAACCTGTGCCGGCTAGAAGACCTACCGGAGGTGGCCTTCGCAAATGTAAAGAGGAAGGTGCTCTACTCCTACATGGTCCGGTTCCATCAAGAGGACACCCTGAAGAGCCACAAGGACCATGCCTGGAGGAAAGCCCTGCCCTGCGTCTCTCCGGAGAGGCCTCGCTGGAGGCAACTCTACTGCAGACCGACGTACAACCGCATCGGTGACTTCAGCTGGAGCATCGCCCATGGCACCGTTACCACCAACGTCTCCCTGGCGCGCTTCACCGACACGTCCCCGGAGTGCCGGTTCTGCGGTAAAGTGGAGACGGTGGCGCACCAATACGTGGAGTGCAAGAGCCTGGACTCGCTGTTCAACGTCCTGAGAAACATCCTCCTAAGGTTCAGCCTCCACTTCTCCCCGACGGTCCTCATCTTTGGATACCCGAAGGGCGACGGACCCCAACATCTTCAGGGGCTGGTCAACGTGCCCTTCGGCTACGCCAAGCTCGCCATATACAGGGCGAGGAAGGTGGCCCTGGAGGGGCAACGTCCAGCCAGCAGCCTGGGCATCTTCCACGCTCTGGTCGGAGCCAGGGTGTGGCTGGAGTTCCGCCACGCGCGGCTGACCCACGCCGTGCCGGCCTTCAAGGAGCAGTGGGCGCTGGAGGAGGCCATGTGCTCGGTGGCAGATGACGGAGAGCTCTGCATGCAGATATAAGCTACCCGTCGGAGGCCGTTTGACTGTGGGAAGGGCTGCGTGCAGATGCAGCACTTGTCGTAGTTATAAAGAAAAAAGAGAGAGCGAGAGGGCCAAATGGAGTAGGAAGAGAGGGGGCAGAGAGAGAGGGGGGGGGGGGGGCGGAGGGGGGGGTAGAGAGAGAGGGAAGGGGAAAGAAAAAAAGAAAACAATTTTTTTTGGGTCTTTCATTTAAAAGGGGGGGGGTTACATAAAGCAAAGCATTAAAACAAAAAACAAAAAAACGAAATGATGAACGGAGCAAAGTGCCGACTACACGGAGCATCTTCTTGTTTCTTCTGATCGTAAAAAAAAGAGAAACACAGAGAGACACAGAGAGACACTGAGAGAGACACAGAAAGGGGCTCTTCTTGGGAGTCGTCTCTCGCCCGAGCCGTCGCGAGGCGAGTCGCTCGCGAGATAAGGCGACAGGTCGGAGCAGCCTGCAGCAGCAGCAGCCTGTATGCCTGCCAACAGCAGCAGCAGCCTGCATGTCTGCCAACAGTAGCAGTCGCCAGCAGCCTGCATGCCTGCCAACAGCAGCAGCCTGTATGCCTGCCAACAGCAGCAGTCGCCAGCAGCCTACATGCCTGCCAACAGCAGTCGCCTGCATGTCGACTTTACCCCCCGCAGGTCACGTGCACATTGTCCGGCATCGTCTACGGTCGCAAACCACCACTCGCCCTCCCCCCGTCGCCACCACCACTCGTCATTGCAAGCAGACCGACGTTTCGCGCGACGCCCCTGGGCGAGGGAACAGCGCGAGAGGTTCCTGTGCTGCTCGGGACGGAGGTCCCCCCCGCCCCCCTGCCGACGACGACGAGGAGGAGGAGCGCACCCCGAGAGCGACGTCGGTGCGACGTCCACACGCGGGTGTTGAGAGTTGACACGAGCAGCAGCAGCAGTGGGGAGAAGTCGCGCCGCTTGTGGGCCCCACGGCCTCGTCTGGGACATCACCGGGGGCCGCTCGGGAGGCCCGCGAGGGTCGAGGCCGAGCACGCGGGCAGGGGGGAGGGGCAGGGGGGGGCCTTCAGTCCAGCAGTGGATAGACAATGGCTGCTGATGAGAGAGGTGGTGATTGTTGGTGGTGGTGGTGTTGTTGGGAGTGGTGGTGATGGTGGTGATTGTTGGTGGTGGTGTTGATAGTTGTGGTAATGTTGATGTTGATAGTGGTGATGTTGATAGTGGTGATGTTGATAGTGATGTTGATAGTGATGGTGATAGTGGTGATGTTGATAGTGATGGTGATGTTGATAGTGGTGATGTTGATAGTTGTGGTAATGGTGGTGATGTTGATAGTGGTGATGTTGATAGTGGTGATGTTGATAGTGGTGATGTTGATAGTCGTGGTAATAGTGGTGATGTTGATGTTGGTGGTGATGTTGATAGTGATGGTGATGTTGATAGTGGTGATGTTGATAGTGGTGATGTTGATAGTGGTGATGTTGATAGTGGTGATGTTGATAGTTGTGGTAATAGTGGTGATGTTGATGTTGGTGGTGATGTTTGTGGTGATGGCGAAGTTGAAACTTTGTGAGACGCCACAGAACGCTGCGCAGCGCCCCGACGGCCGCGTGGACTCTGAACCCCGCGACTCGAGTGGTGGCGGTGGCGGGGTCCCGTGACGACGACGATGGTGGTGGATGACGATGGTGGTGGTGGATGATGACGGTGGTGGTGGTGGATGACGATGGTGGTGGTGGATGACGATGGTGGTGGTGGATGATGACGGTGGTGGTGGATGACGATGGTGGATGACGATGATGGTGGTGGTGGATGATGGTGGTGGATGATGATGGTGGTGGATGATGATGATGGTGGATGATGATGGTGGTGGAGGTGGTGGATGATGATGGTGGTGGATGATGATGGTGGTGGTGGATGATGATGGTGGTGGTGGATGATGATGGTGGTGGATGATGATGGTGGTGGTGGATGATGATGGTGGATGATGATGGTGGTGTTGGATGATGATGGTGGATGATGATGGTGGTGGTGGATGATGATGGTGGTGGATGATGATGGTGGATGATGATGGTGGTGGATGATGATGATGGTGGTGGTGGATGATGATGGTGGTGGATGATGATGGTGGTGGATGATGGTGGATGATGATGGTGGTGGATGATGGTGGTGTTGGATGATGATGGTGGATGATGATGGTGGTGGTGGATGATGATGATGATGGTGGTGGATGATGATGGTGGTGGATGATGATGGTGGTGGATGATGATGGTGGTGGATGATGATGATGGTGGATGATGATGATGGTGGATGATGATGATGGTGGATGATGATGGTGGTGGATGATGATGATAGGGCTCGTCCCTGCACTACCGCTCCACTGCTAGACGAAGGCGACCATCCCCAGCTTGCACCGCGCTACTCAGCGCGGGTCGCTGAGCACGGGCAAGGGGCGAGCGGGGCCGGTTCGTCACTGCGCTCGCCACTGACGTTAGCCGGGAGTGGGGGGGGCTAGGGGGGTCGATGTCGGCTCTCCGCACCCAAATCACCGCTCCACCGCTCCCCGTGAGCCCGCGGCCACGGCTCGGGCGGCGTTCGGAGATCCTCGCGGGGTGCGTGGGGGGTCGGCAGCCGCGGTGCGGGACGCAGACTGCTGCTGCTACTGAAGCAACAGGTGCAGCTGTGTGTTCTAGACACACACGTGCGTAGTCTAGACTACACACGTGCGTGTCTAGACTACACACACACGTGTGTGTATAGACTACACACACACGTGTGTGTATAGACTACACACACGTGTGTGTATAGTCTAGACACGCACGTGCGTAGTCTAGACTACACACGTGTGTGCCTAGACTACACACACACGCGTGTGTATTCTATACACACACGTGTGTGTCTAGACTACACACACGTGTGTGTATATTCTAGACTACACACGTGTGTGTATTCTAGACTACACACGCGCGTGTGTATTCTAGACTACACACGCACGTGCGTGTGTATTCTAGACAGATGGCCCACTAGAGTACAGAGATAAGAGATCGTCAGCACCTCGAGGCGTCTGAGTCCACACGTCCCGCACCGCCCTCGAGGCGCCCCATCCCCAGGGCGCACGGGAGCCGTCGCCCTCGCCACCAACCCCACGCCGCACGAAGCGAGGAGGGTCACGAGACATCGGTGGGGTGTCTATAAATGGATCGCCCCCCTCGCTCTTCGTAGAGCCCCCAGCCCCTTCTAGGCCGGGCCGCGAGTGCAGAGGTCGTCAGGCTGGGGGGGGGGGGGGGGGGGGGCCCGCGGGGGGGGGGGGGGTGGCCTGAGCCCACGCCTGGCCGCCTTTGTCTCTCCACCGCTGCTGATGTTAACACGCCGCACCACGTGCTCTATTGTACGGCTGAGTCGACCTGAGTAGGCCAGGTGTGTGTGTATATTTATAGACAAACGCAATGTGTACTGTATATATTTATACATAGACACAATGTGTGTATCTGTATACACAACCGGGAGCAAGCAGCTCGGACCAGCAGCAGCAGCAGCTCCCCGTGTTTACCTGGGCACGGGGCGGGGGGTCGCTTGGCCCGGGGGGGGGGGGGTCGCTTGGCCCGGGCAGGGTCACTCGCGACGATACCCGCGGCACAATCCCGGGGCCGTGGCGGCAACTCCGAGACGCAGCTCCGAGCGTGTCCCTGGCTCCCCCCTCCTCCTCCTGCTGTTGTCGTCCAGCACGGATGGGGGCCACCAGGTCGTGGGTTCGCCCTCGGCGCTGCTTCTTTGTGTCGCTACCCGCCTCTTCACCTCGTCGTTATCGCGCCCGCCCGCCCACCTTCGCCGGGCTGAGCAAACAGGAGACTCGCCAGGAGCGGAGTTCTCGAGCCCAGCCGCGCGCGTCCACTCCGACGCCTTTTATAGCGCGCGGCCTCCCACGGAGAGCCGAGCGGGCCCCCGGCACAGCGCACGAGTGGCGAGCGGTGCCATCCGCGGGTCACGACAGAACACGCGTGTGTGTGTCTGTGTGTGTGTGTCCGTGTGTGTCTGGGTGTGTGTGTGTCTGTCTGTGTGTGTGTATGTGTCCGTGTGTGTGTCTGTGTGTGTGTGTCCGTGTGTGTCTGTGTGTGTGTGTGTCCGTGTGTGTCTGTGTGTGTGTGCGCGTGTGTGTGTGCGCGTGTGTGTGTCCGAGTTCTATATCCAAAAGAAAGGACAAAACGATCTCTCTCGCACACAGTGGGCGCCAGTGTTGTTCGCCACGGAGCACGATGCAGGGGTCGCGACTCGCAGCGAAATCACGAGTGGCGAGATCGTCACCGCCGCCGCCGTCACCACCACCACCCAGGCCACGGCCTCGGCCTCAACAGCGGAATCGGCGCGACTCCTTCCCCAGCGGCACACGGCCCCGGTCGGGAGGCGAGGGGGCGACCCGGGCCGAGTCTCGAGTCGCTGGGCAGCTCCAGGGCCGCACCGCAACGTGCCCCCCCCCCGCTCATTGGGTTTCGCGTCTTAATATAGACGGTGACTGGCTACTGGATACCAGCGAACGGGTTGGCCACGCGCGTCTCCACGGAATGGAAGTGGAGCCCCCCCCCCCCACGAGGTCCCCCCCCGAGCCCCCCCTGCCGAGCTGCGGATGTCCTCTGCCAACTCTTCGCTCTCTCTGGCTCATCAAAGCCTCGCAGCAGCGGTGGGGTTCCGTGGGTTTCCAATTGCAAGTTTAGTTTCGCGGAAAGTACAAACTACTCAAATAAACTCGGTAATCACAGCCAGTGAACATCTCTGCATGGCTCAATTAGTCGCCGTTGCAAAACCTCCACGGATTCTTTGTAAATTAAACTGCTGTTTAAGAATCACAAAACAACGTTGCCATTTTTGGTTTTACTAAACGCAGAGATTGTGTGGCCGTGCAATGTTGAACGGCCCACGTGGATGAGCGGTTTGCATTCAGTTCTCTAAATAGAGATGATATACGGACCCCAGCAGGGGTGTGCAGGCGGTGCAACTGCACCAGGGCCCACGAGGCGGATCGGGGACCCGAGGCCCCAAAGTTTACGTTCACGGGATATGTTTGCCTGTATCAAAGTACGAAAAACAAGGCGAGGTTTTACCCGTTCTGGCAATAAAACAGCAAGTGTTAAGATGTCCAAACAACAAATAGAAACCTTTTTGCACGGAGTCAAGTCTGCATGAACCACGCGTACTTGTGGTGAACACGTCTAAACAAAGATGCTTTGATAATTAATTACAGGGTGCTTCAAAAAAATGTTAACACTTCCGACAATTTGCAACAACGTCACAAGGAACATGGCTCCGGGCTCTGGAGAGTGGAGACCACCTGGGGAAGATTCCAGGCAAGGTGTTGACCACGATGGCGAACAAGTGGAGACTCTTTGACTTTCGGAAGCTATTACCATTACATTTGTTATCATGTTACAATGTATTATCCGTTTTTTCCCATTAAAGAGATAGTCCTATAATATGTATTAATATTTTTTTGAAGCACCCTCTGTATGCATTGTCTCGGATGTAGGCCAATCAGCGAGCACATCCGAAGGCCGACACCCAAGCACACGAGGGGGTGGCCGGCCAGCACTACGCCCGACCCCGCTTTGTCTCCCCAGTGAGGGTGTGTTTACACACCACACCGGGTATTTGAGGCCGAGTCGACCTAAGGGTAGTCCACTACTGGTTCAGATAACCGTCATTGGTGTTGACCGTGAGCGGGAATCCAATTCGGGTCTCCGGGGTTCGTAGTGCTAATCGCTACACTACCATGTTCCGGACACACGTACACGTGTAACACACACAACAATAACAACCGCCATTCGCCACTAAGTGACGGTGACGTCACCACAACGCTTGTGCCAAGCTATGTGCACCTTGTGGCCACGTGAAGTGTCGAACGCCCGCTGGCAGGAGGTCACGGGGCAGACCCAGGTACCATGGGTCGACTGACTGAGATGACCGAGATGACTGACTGATGCAAACACTTGTGCCCCCTACTGTGCCAACTTGCTGTGCTTTAGCCACCTGGCACTCTGCTCGTTGTTGTGAGCGTCGCTCCTCCGCCCTCCGTTGTTGTTGGAGGGCGACTGCCTCCAACTGCCCAGTAGCAGCAGCGTCCTTCACGAGCCTCCTCCACAGAGGCCGATCTTGACACCGCTAGTACCAGTCATCGGCAAGTCCACTCAGCTCCACGTCCTCCCGTACCACATCACTTCATCTCTTCTCCAGCCTGTGCCGCGCCCGTTTAGCCCCCTCGATCCGGCCGAACAAAAGCTGTTTCGGCATGCGGTGGCTGGGCATGCGGGCTACATGACCCAGTCAACGCAGCCTTGCCCGCCGGAGGAGCTCACCGATGGGACCTTGCCCAGATCTTTCAAGGATTTGTGAGCTCCTCACACAATCCAGCCTGGTTAAACCCAGGATGGATCGTAGGCAGGCCAGCCTAAATGTTTCTAACCGGCAAAGATGTTCCATTAGGGGGGGTCCACGTTTCGCAAGCGTAGAGAAGGGAGGTAATGACCGTTGCCGAGAAGACCTGAAGCTTCGTGCGGAGCGACAGACCAGGTAGCTTCCACACAGCGTTACGCAATCAATGAAAAGATATTGCCGCTCGACTGATTCGGAGTGAGACCTCTGCTGTTAAACCGGAGCCAGTCATAAGCACACTGCCCAGGTATGGGAAACTCTCCACTCCCTCCACAACCGCCCCATCACCGATTGGGAGTTGTGCACACACACACGCACGTGAACACACGCACACACTTGTACACACACACACACGCACGTGTACACACGTGTACACACGTGTACACACACACACACGTGTACACACACACACGTGTACACACGTGTACACACACACACGTGTGCACTGCTGTAGAGAGCACCCTGCACCACCCACTGAGGTTCGACACCCGCACGGGGGCTGCGCGAGAGCCGCTTCGCATCGCGCGCTCACCGGCCCCGTCCCATGACGAACCGGCGGGACGCATCGCGACGCGCGGGGCTACAACCCCAGGGACGCGTCGCGGGGGGGGGGGGATTGCGCCGAGCTCCCAGGGGAGGGGGTGACCCTCCTCGCTTCGTGCGGCGTGGGGTTTGTGGCGAGGGCGACGGCTCCCGTGCGCCCTGGGGGATGGGGCGCCTCGAGGGCGGTGCGGGACGTGTGGACACAGACGCCTCGAGGGTGCTGACGATCTCTTATCTCTGTACTCTCTAGCGGACCATCTGTCTATGGGGGGCGGAGCGGGTTCGGAGGCATCCGTCCCCCCGTGTGCCCGGTGCAACGCGAGGAACATCGAGGGTGAATCGTGCACACCCCCACCCACCTCCCTGCTTGCAAGCTGCACAAACCAAACTCCTGATGGGGGGCCCCGTGCCCGCATGGAGTGGCAACACGGCGCGCCCCTTGCCCTCCACCCGCGGGGGGAGTCTCTCCCGCTCCGTCCTGACAGCGCGCGGGGCGAGGAGTGGCCGCGACGGCGTCCTCCTGACGAGGAGCCGCGCGCTCGTGGACTGCGCCCTCGTGACTCGAGCAAGGTTGGCGACGTAGGGTGCGAAAGAAGTTCAACGCGCGGCGTGCTCGAGGTGCAGTCGTCGGGTTTATTAAAAATCCATTCGACCAATTTGCAGCCGCAGAACTCGCTTCAACCTTTTGAGCAACTTGTGATATCCCACCCCCCGCCCGCCCCCCCCCCCCCCCCCACGTTCACCGTTCCCCGAGGCCTACGTGGCCGACAACTGCGGGTTTATGGCAACAGTTGCTCGCGACGGCGCAGCCTCGTACAACACCGTGACCCGAGCGGTGGGGTCCCAGTCGATGCCATCGGAGCGACGGCAACGCGAGCGCACGCGAGGCACGGGGCGCGCGCTGCGGGTGCCGGCGACGCACCGGTGCCGGCCCTCATCGGAAATGTAGTCGGACCACCGACTCCAACGCTCACGGAACCAACCGAAAGCCTCAAGGAGGATTTTTGTTTTTTTAAAGAAAAATAATTTCACAAAAGCGCAGCCACCTGCGAGTAGGAGTGACACAAACTCTTTGGTTCTTTCGGTAAAGTCACGTAGTTCGAAATAAAACAAAAAATAGTGATTTGCTTGATTTTATTTCTACCTCCGTGACTTTACCGAAAGAACCAACGAGTTTGGATTCCTGCAGTCACGAAAGCTTCAAATCAAGATTGGAGCGACACACGCAGAGAGCGGCGCGCCGTGGGACGCGGCAAGCCCTGCTAGGGGCTGCGGCAGGCGGCCGGGAACGGTGCCCGACGCATTCAAGGCGTCTGGTCAACGCGGGAAGAGGAGACCACGAGCCTCGAGAGGTCTCTGCGGCGGAGGAGGCAGCAGAGCGGAGTGGGGACCGACACGACTGCCATCGCCCCCATCAATCCGCGTCGTCAGAAACTTCGTTTCACCACGAACGCTTTTTTAAAATTAATTTTTAGTGATTTTAACGAAAGACAAATTTCGTTGCGGGAAATCAACTTTAATTGACGTTGATCTACGTCTGTGAGCCGACTGGAGTTTCTTCCCCCAACGCGCTTGCTTTCACGCCCATGTCTATTGGCTTCATTGCTCACGTTGTGGTTTTTGTCGCTTACGTGACGCAGGCCACTCGTGCAACATGACACTCTCACCACCTGGTTAAACACAATCTCACCACCTGGTTAAACACAAAAATAAACAATAACTTTCAACTTGTTTACGATTAGCTCCGCAAAGCGGCCTACGCGGAACGGGGCCTTGAAACGCAGCGATGCTGCGGAGCGCCGGGGGTGGCGCGACCGTTGGGCCGCAGCAGGGAGGCCGCTGCGTAGAAGGCCCCGCGACAGGCCCCGTCAGAAGCTCCACCGGGCCTAGCTCTCCGAGTCCCCGCCGCCATCCTGCAGCATGCTCTCGAAGGAGTACGGCGTGAACTTGACGCCCGTGCCGTGGTAGAACTTGTTCTGGAACTCCACCCTGGCGCGCGACGGAAGGGGTTGAACAAACAATCGGAGGTTCGACTCGCGGCGACTGTGACCTTGTGGCGACTGTGACCTCGCGGCAACTGTGACCTCGCGGCAACTTTGACCTCGCGGCAACTGTGACCTCGCGGCAACTGTGACCTCGTGGCGACGGTGACCTTGCGGCGACAGTGACCTCACGGCAACTGTGACCTCGCGACAACTGACCTCCCGGCAACTGTGACCTCGTGGCGACGGTGACCTCGCGGCGATGGTGACCTCGCGGCAACTGTAACCTCGCGACAAGTGACCTCCCGGCAACTGTGACCTCGTGGCGACGGTGACCTCGCGGCAACTGTGACCTCGCGGCGACTGTGACCTCGCGGCGACTGTGACCTCGCGGCGACTGTGACCTCGCGGCAACTGTGACCTCGTGGCGATGGTGACCTCACGGCAACTGTGACCTCGTGGCGATGGTGACCTCACGGCAACTGTGACCTCGCGGCGACGGCCGTGGTGCGGGCGGCTCGCGACCGGCGAGCCGGGAGTAGCGGTTAGCGCTACGCTCCGCTATGAACCCAACAATCCAGGATCGATTCCCGCTCACGGCCAACACCAGTGACCATTATCTGAACCGGTCCTAGGCCTCCCCTAGGTCGACTCAGCCTCGAATGAGTACCTAGTGTGGTGTGTAAACATCGCAACTGGGGAGAAAAAGGCGGTCGGGCGTGGTGCTGGCCACCCACCCCCTCGTGTACCGTTCCGGCCTTCATAGGTGCTCGCTAACGGCACTTGCCCCTACAGTCTGCTAAGCCTATACTGGGGGGTCTTGTATGTGTGTGCGCATCTGTGTGCGTGCTTGCATTCGTGTGCGTGCAAGCATCTGTGTGTGTGCTCGTGTGCGTGCGTTACCAGTGCAGGCGCAGTGCGTGCAGGAAGGCCGAGAGGCCCTCCATCACGAGCAAGATGGCCACCGTGAGGACGGCAAAGGCGGCGAAGATGAAGAAGACGATGACGAGGCCAGACCACTCCCCGTTCTTGAGGCTCATCTTGAGCACCATGGTCCACAGCACCTCGGACAGCTCTGCTCCAGGGGACGGCAGAACGCATCAACCGCACGCGGAGAGTCGACCGCGCGTGGCGCGTCAACGTCAGCGGTGCGCGGCGCTCACCGAGGCGACCGAGCGGGTTTCGGCAAAAATGCAGCGCGCCCCGACAGGTGTCCGGCAAAACTCGGCTCGGCAATCGGCGACCCTCAAGTGGACGCGTGTCCACCTGGCCACCGAGTGTCCTTCGTAGATTAAATCCCTTTTTAGAAAAGCCAAAGTGACCTCCTGCTCAAATGTGCGCGGAGGCGGTGTTCAGCTCCTGCTCACAGTCCTGAGCCAGTTTTGGAAATTCCACATTTCTATGGCGGAGGCGAGTCTATCCACGGGAGAGCGGTGCTCGTTTCATCACGCCCAGGTGAGACGACGCTTGGCCGAGGCCAACCCCCCCCCCGCCCCCCCCAACCAGGATGTGAACTCACGGCCTTCCCTTTGCGAGCCGCTCGCTCTACGGCCGCGCCACCTGGGCCGTGCCGCCCCGCGTCGTCCTCACCCCGACGACGCCGGGCGGCGGCTCGCCCACCACGACGTTCATCAACCGCTCGGCGGTCGTGCGGCATGGCGGCTGTAAATACGGACTCCGCCTATTAAGGGTTAATTTGTTTTGATTACAAAAAAACACAAGAGGATTTACCCTTCCTGGAAAAACAAACAGCTGTTAAGATGTTCAAACACCAAACATATACCTGTTGCGGCCGTCTGGAACGCTCTTCCATCCGATATTTGGAAGCCACTGGAGCTGTGCACGTTCAGATCTAGACTGAAAACTAGAACTGCTTTTTGTGTTTAGTTTGTTGTCCTTCCCCCGCACCTCCGATAAGCACGGTTGGCTACGTACGTTGCAAAATAAGTTCAACGTGCATACAAGGGAGCTGTGTTTGAACGGACTGCTAAAGTGTTGGATTTTCAGTCACCGACGGGTGCACAAAAAAGCCATCGCACCACATTTGTTTCTGCCCTTCATTTGGCCGAATTCCAGCTCTGAGAGAATTGTCATCTGGTTTTGACCGCCACGAGACCAACCTCACTCTGGCATGCAGAGTGTGTGGGAAGTGCCGCCCTCCACTGCGCATGCACCGGAGCGTCACTTGAAGAAGAGGGCATCTCGGAGGCGGCTCCGTGATATCCACTTCCCTGGGCGGCTCTCTCTAACATCGCGAAGGGCCCCCCCCCCCCCCCACTCCCACCCTGCCCCGCGACCCCAACCGATTCTTCTTCTCGTGACGCGACGCCGATAGCGGGAGCCAGATAGAAACATCGTGGGGAGATCGCAACGACAAAGGGGTGGGGTGGGGGGGGGTGAACTCACGGGCGTGGGCCAGGCTGAGGGCCCAGAGGCGCAGGTAGGAGGCCGTGTTGGAGATGCAGCCCAGGCAGTACTCGATGGTGTGGATGGCTTGGTGCACAAACACGTCACCAAAGTCAAACTAAAAACGGTCAAGAACAACACAAATTCGACCGTCAGAGACTCGTTGCGAGGGACCGAGGAGACGCTCGTGAGAGAGTTGACAATTTGTGGAGAGTTTTTTTGCTTTGTTTATTATCTGCCTCCGGTCACCTCTCCGTGATCTCCGTGGTCACCGTGAGCTCCGCCGCCGTGATCCGCCGGCTCGGGCGGCGGCTCCCTCGCGACCTCCGCGTCGTCCGTGGAGCCGCCGTTGACGTACGAGTTCTGGAGCTGAGGCGACACGAGAGCGGCGAGCGCCGGTCGCGCCGCCACCGCGGTTCACAAATCCACACCCGCGCACGACTTCGCCTCCTTCCCACGTCCCATCGGCCACCCGGCGAGTGCATCATCTCGGCGGCAGTCGTTAAACACAAGCAATGGTTGGAGGGGTTTTGTAGTCAGGCTTTACCCGATCCAATGCTGGTGACCCGCCCGGTGTTTAAAGGCGAGAGCCCTCCCCGTTATACATCCTCATCGTCCGATCCCTCTTACACGCACTGTAACTCCTGCACTGTTTAGACTCCCCGCACCGCTCACAGTCTCATCGCCACCACCGCCGCCGCAAACCCCACAACCACCACCATCACCGCCGCCGCCATCACTACCACCGCCTTGTTGGCTTCGGGGCTTCCCCTGTGATGCCGACCTCTGGGAGCCACTGCCGTGCCCGGATCTTCCGACATTACAAACACTCAACACCTCCGCCATTTGCCCCGTGTCCCCGAGAGGAAAGACGTCTCCAACAGGCGACACTGGGCAATGGCTCTTGTTGGTGGCTTACGGTCACAACGGGGCCTGTTATATATGTATAATATTATTTGTTATGGTCTACGGCGGTGTTATTGACGAAGGTGTTGAGTTCTCCGTCGTGCACCACTGCAAACGCAGCAGCGGCAAATTAAATGTTTAATCTGCACCCCCCCCCCCCCACGTGGTTTACGCACATCCAGTGGCCTTGCCTTGCATGAGTAGGGTAGAGGTTTATAACAACATTAGCACACACACACGCGCGCGTTCTTACGTCATCACAGAGAGATTCCACCTTCAGCGAGCCACACGGCTGCGAAATTCATCTCAGTGTTCATATCGGTGCATGTCCAGCAATGGCAGCACACACGCATGCACGCTAGCACACGCACACTTGCGCGCACACACACACACACGCGCGAGCGCACATGCACGTGGGGCACTGCATACTAGGGTGGCGATGTGTGGAGCGCAGGGCGGGCGACCGCGTGGGTCCCGGAGCTCACCAGGCGCTGCGCGCGGCGGTGCTTGGAGCGCAGAACGAACGGCTTGAAGAAGAGCATCCAGGGCACGGCGATGAGGGCGAAGATCACCAGGAAGGTCTGCAGGTCTTGCTGCGGTGGAGACACGATGCGGCACGTCAGGCGGTGCATCATCATTATCATTGTTTATTGTCGCAGTCGTCCTGCGCTCGTTTACCCAGGAAAGCCTCGCCGAGTCTCACGACTATTTTCCCGGAGGGCCCTGCTGAGTACTCGCAGGAGGAGATTGTTTAAATGTAAACCGCGATATGCTGGCGCACGACGGCCGACTCTTGAGAATGACGCGAGGGGGTATTTTAGGTCCACTGCGAATCAGTCGGAGTGTAGTATATATATAGTTTGATGTTCACGGTTAACGCACCGGCAGTGTTCATTTGGGGTGGCCGCCGGATTCTGACGGTGAAGCTCCGCGTCGAGCGGTGAAAGCCACGAGGCGGCGTCACTGCGCCCCAGCGGTGGCGCGATACCGACGCTCGTGGTTCGGATACAGAAGCCCACCCCTGGTTAATAGCGCAGGCGCCATAACATCAAATACTACGTGCCGCGTGCTTCTCGGTGGACGTTAAAGCTCCCACGAAGCGAATCGAAGAAGAGTTGGCAGTTATGTGCCAGAGTTCCTGGCCAAAACTTGCCAAATTTCTAAAAAAAAAATCTCAAATTTGGCAAGTTTGAGAAGTTTACGAAATTTGACTTGGTTAAGAAACAAACAGCCACCGTCTCCCCCTGCGAAGAAACGCGGCAGGGCCCTATTCACAAAGAGTCTCGATACTCGGTGGCGCTCGACTGGGTGAGCGAAGGCACAACGATGACATCAGGAGCCCTTCCCATTCGCGGAGACGCCGAGAGCACTGCCACCGCACCACGAAGAGAGAGAGCACTGCCACACACCACGAAGAGAGAGAGCACTGCCTCGCATCACGCCGAGAGAGCACTGCCGTGCACCACGGAGAGAGAGCACTGCCACGCACCACGGAGAGAGCACTGCCACGCACCACGGAGAGAGAGCACTGCCACGCACCACGGAGAGAGAGCACTGCCACGCACCACGGAGAGAGAGCACTGCCATGCACCACGGAGAGAGAGCACTGCCACGCACCACGGAGAGAGAGCACTGCCGCGCACCGCGGAGAGAGAGCACTGCCGTGCACCACGGAGAGCACTGCCACGCACCACGGAGAGAGAGCACTGCCACGCACCACGGAGAGAGAGCACTGCCACACACCACGGAGAGAGAGCACTGCCACGCACCACGGAGAGAGAGCACTGCCACGCACCACGGAGAGAGAGCACTGCCACGCACCACGGAGAGAGAGCACTGCCACGCACCACGGAGAGAGAGCACTGCCACGCACCACGGAGAGAGAGCACTGCCACGCACCACGGAGAGAGAGCACTGCCACGCACCACGGAGAGAGAGGACGCTCGCAGGGCGCAGGCGGTGCGGCTGTGCCGGGGCCCAGAGGCCGGGGGAGCCCAGGGCTAGGGCCGCTAAGCGGGGGCAAGGCCAACACAGGGCCCTCCTCCTATCGGAGAGAGGAGGGTCGGCCACACAGCGAGGAGGCAAAGGAAAGAGCCGCAACCTCCAACGGCTCTGAAGAAGGTGGCGGGGACGAGAAGGAGGACCAGGGGGCTCGTGCCGTGAGAGCCAGAACTTAAATAAATAAATATATGTGTCAGAACGGTCGGTAGAATTGGGTGGATCTCGGCGATGCTGCTGCACTGCGGTAAAAACGTCTGCCGGGCAAACTCCGGGCGTTTGTTCTATTTTGCGTGCGGTGGTTTTACTGGGGGCCCGCCAATTTCCTCCAACTTGGACTGATCACAGCTCCGCTGCCAGACTGCCGACGGCCGCGTTGAACAACCGCCGGCGAGCGCGACGCGGCTGCGCGGTGTCGTGCAGGCTGCACGCTCGACGATGAGATGCGAGTGGAGACACTCTGGCGGAGAACGGCGGCTCCCCGTGGTGCACACAACGAACGCTTCCTGCCGGTCGACGCTGCACGTCGGGGCAGCTGTGATCAGGGAGCGAGTGCTTGGGCATGCGTGTAAACTGCATCGTGCACGCATGTAGCAATACGCACCTCGTGCTAACGGTTATCGATAATCAGCGGTTGAGCGAGCGGCTCGCGTCCAGGAGCGCGTGAGTTCAAATCCTTTTTTGGGGTTGACTCAGCCTATCATCATTCCGCCGGGGTCGATAAAATTACTACCACTTTGTGGACAAGTTCTATGGAGAGACTCACCCCCAACCCTAGGAATGTGGAATTTCCACCACTGGCACTGAATGGCTCTAAACTGGTCGATGAGCACCAACGCCTCGATGCGAATTTGAGCAGCAGGAACTCACCTTGACTTTTATAAGAGGACGACATTTTATGGAGACAATTCCCACAACCTTTAAAGCCATAAACCCCACGGTGCGCGCCGAGGGGGTGCGGCACGGTGAAGGTGACGCCGCCCCCCCCCCCCACCATGGCAGCACGGCACGAGGGGGCCGCTACGACCTTCGTGGACTTTGGATTCGGTGAACTTTGCGCACGGCGATCAGAGCCAAGATTAACTCCGACGCCGACGCCGTTACAGCCGCGCACACACACACACACACGCACGCGTGCGTGCAAACCCACAATACAGTTCTGCACGTCCGTTCCTCGTGCCGGATCAGCACGTGGGTGGCGGAGACGCGGCAGCGCGTTTGCCGCTCGTCGCAGAGGTTCGCCCCGGTTCAATACGGCGGTCCGCCCCGGTTAACGCGGCGATTTGTCTTCACCCAAACGTCGCGAGCGCCGTCTGCCTCGCGGCGGACGTTCAATATCTCGTGACCTCGCCACAAACGGATTTGGCCATCGTGTGCCGGCGTCAAAGTCCAATCGTCGCCGCATTTGCCAAACGACCTCGTCGGGAAACGCGTAGCCATCGGCGCACCCTCCTGCGGAACGGAGCAGGCCGCTCCTACGAAGAGCGATGGCGGCGCTTGAGCTCCCCAATTTAAATCCCAGCTCAACGCTCGCGCCCCCCGGTGCCGTGGCCACCTCGGAGAGGCCCCCCGAGCCGTGGCCGGGCCCACCTCGGAGAGGCCCCGCTCTCTAACCGACGGTGGACTGGGGGCGGGCGGGCGGTTACCTGGAAGCTGTAGAGCGGCGCGTTGGTCTTGTCGCTGTAGTTGAAGAGGAACATGTTGATGAAGTGGATGAGGATGCTGGGCGCGTGCCAGGAGGTGGCGGCCGTGTACATGACCCACTTGTAGATGATCATAACGACGAGGTAGCCGAAGAGGCACAGGATGAAGATCAGCTGAGGGATGAACTCCAGGAAGATGCTCTCCGGCTCGTGGAAGTACCTGCACACCACCCCCACGTGAATGCCGCTCGCGTGAACGCCGCTCGCGTGAACGCCGCACGCGTGAACGTCGCGTGAACCCGAACTTCGCCGCCATGGCGGCTCCACGTTAAGTAGCCACGCGAGCCGGCCGCACCTCTCGGCCCCGCACAGCGCGAGGGCGCGGATACGGACAGCCCCCCGCTGAGCGAGGGCCTCCCCACGCCGTGGGGGGCCGGGGGTTGTCTAACCATACTTCACCGTGCCGGCGAGCGCTGGCTGCGTTTGGTCGCAGCCCCACGGCAGCCTGTAGCACCTGTGACACACGGGGCATCGCAGGTACTACAAGCTGCCGTTCTCGCGTGGATATGAATTTAGACGGGATTTGTTTTTTGTTTATGTACAGCGTGTTGAGATGTTTAAATCAGGCGCTGTACCACTAAATCTTCATCATCATTATTATTATTATTAAACACGAGCACCGGGTGAGGATGGGAGCTGGAACGCCGAGCTCGTCGATTCATCAATGAGCATTTGTGTCAATGCCGTGTGCGGGAGACGGCTCGAACGTACGTGTGGTTGAATATGCCCAAGATGACCCCGAAGATCATGTGGATGATGCCCACGGTGACGGACATCTTCATCTTGTACGAGTTGAGAAAGGTCAGCTTGTTTCCCGCTATGTTCCAAATCTGGGGGTGGGTGGGGGGGGCAGAACGGGAGTGGAACCTCCTCCCCACGAAGGGCGCTTCCGCCAGGTCGCCCCGGGGTATCGGCACTCCTCCGTTTAAACTCTTCAACTCTTTAGAACTACAGTAAAACCTTGGATTGCGAGTAACTTGGTCTGCGAGTGTTTTGCAAGACGAGAATTTTTTTGAAATAAATATTAATTTGATAAACGAGCGAGTAGTACCGTATACGCTTTGTCTGCCGAGCGTCACGTGATCACAACTGATATACGAGTGCTTTGATATACGAGTGCTTTGGATTACAAACACGTTTCCTGAGCCAATTATGCTCGCAATCCAAGGTTTTACTGTATCTTTATTTTACCAGGTAAGTCCCACTGAGCTATAAACGGCTCTTTTACAGAAGCGACCTGGCCACGAATGATAGCTCAACAAAGTGGCTTATCGCGCAGAAATTCAAACACAAGTTGCTTCAAAGAAATGTTAACACTTACATGGGACTATCGGTTTAAATGAAGAAAGAATGAATAATATACTGTAATATGATAACAAATGTAATGGTAATAGCTTCAAAAAGTCAGAGTCTCCACTTGTTCACCACCATTGTCAACGCATGCCTGGAATATTATCCAGGTGGTCTCCAGAACCCGGAGGCACATTTCACGTGGTGTTCTTGCAAATTCTCAGAAGCGTCAACATTCTCTTGAAGCACCGTGTATACAGCAAGCAGCGTCAACGGTCGGGATCGAACCCACGACCTGCTGCATACCAGGCGAGGGAGTTAACATCTCGTAGCCACCGCGACGCCCCAAATTGTAAAACGTGGGGGGGGGGCACGTTGGGCGCGACGCAGCGTGGGGGGGGCACGTTGGGCACGATGCAGCGTGGGGGGGGCACGTTGGGCGTGACGCAGCGTTATCCGCCTCGGAAGGCATCCAAGAAGCCTGGGTTTTGTTTTCTGTGCCAATCCGTCTGCAACTCTGAACAATCGTCGCTGCTGCTGTGCACGGAGCGGGGGGTGGAATCCTGCCGCCGCCGCTGCCGCCGCTGCTCAAATCACCCACTCACTCACCCCCTCGCCACACTACAGATCACTTCACTTCTCTTTCCACTTCTTCCCTTGCACGGCTCCACTTTGGAATTCCCTCTCCCATCACCGTCTGCTCGTTTCCCCGACTTCATCTAAGATCCCTGCTCAATTCAAGGGCGGCGTTAACCCCGTGCCTACTGCGGCATTGACGGTGCCGTCCGTTGCCGGCCCCTTGACGCCTGGGGCCTGCGAGCCGGAGCTCGGCACGTGCCTGTCAAGGGAACGTGCTGCTCGGCAAGGGCGCTGGGTGGCACTGCTTACGGGGTCGATGCCGAAGGGGTAGGGATTCCCCGAGAAGACCCCCGTCACGTTGGGGTCCAGCTGCAGCAGCGGGCTGAGCTCCAGCATCGAAGCGCTGAGGAGCGGAGAGAGGCACACAGAGGAGAGTGAGAACACGAGAAAGAGAGAGGGAGTGAGAGAGAGAGAGAGGTAGAGAGGGAGAGTGAGAGAGCGAGAGAGAGAGAGTGAGAACACGAGAAAGAGAGAGGGAGTGAGAGAGCAAGAGAGAGGGAGAGAGTTGCTTTGGGTTTCACGCACATTCACCCCCTGTCAGAACATTCCCACTACCATAATCCCGCACCTTCAATTAGAAAGGTTGGCTACGTACGGTGCGAAAGAAGTTCAACACACATACATTGTCATCTTCTTCGGGTCTTTCGGTAAAGTCACGTAGATAGGTTCAAAGAAAATAACATCGTCAGCCACGGTCAATACCCTGCTGGACGGAGGCCTCCACCACCCGCCAGCACCACCACCGCCAGGTCGTGCGACGGCAACAACCCGTCCAGCGACCGCACAGCGCGGATCGGTTCCACCGCTCCGTCTCCCACGCGACGTCACAACGCCACTTCCGTTCCGCCGCTCCGTCTCCCACGCGACGTCACAACGCCACTTCCGTTCCGCCGCTCCGTCTCCCACGCGACGTCACAATGCCACTTCCGTTCCGCCGCTGCGCCTGACGTCGAGGGACCCTGGAGCTCGGTTTCACCGCGGAGCGGCCGAGGGACGCTCGCTCGCACGCGGACTGCCGGCACCCTAACAGACACGGCCCTCTTCTCCACCAATATCTCTCTAGGCAGAGGTTCCGTGCGGTGTTCCACATGGCCGCGGATCATAAGTCGCCCCAAGCCGCGGCCTCACCTCCACACGCCCTGCTGGAACATGGCGCGCACGTGCCACGACGAGCCGAAGATGTTGACCGACTTGGAGAAGCAGTCGTTGTAGATGAAGCCCGTGTAGATGGAGAACATGGCCATGAGCAGGATGATGTAGCGCCCGCCGAAGAACGTGTTCCAGATCTGCCAGCGCGGCGCACGTACGGCACAGCTCCATGGTGGGAACGATTTCACGGTGGGAATGCTTTTACAATGAAGATTATTTAAAGATGGGAATGATTTCACAATAAAAATGATTTCACGATGGGAATGATCTCACAAATAAAATAATTTCATGATGAATAATGTCATCATAAAATAATGTCAGAATATTCTCTCCCAGTTCATCGAATCGGCTCGGAGCTCTCGCACGCAATCATCGACAAGGGCGCGTTTGTAAAAGGAGGAGCGAGCAGCGGTACTGTGATCGTCGTCACCTCGTTGTCGCTCTTGCTGGCCAGGAGCTCCCTCTCCTTGAGCACCATCCACACGGCGAAGCAGAGCATCACCAAGCCGTGGCCCCAGTCGCCGAACATGACCGCGAAGAGGAACGGGAAGGTGACGATCGTGTACGGGGCTGCGGTCAGCACACACGTACACATGCACACGCGCACACACGCACGCGCACACGCGCGCACACACATACACGCGCACACACAAGACTCAGGCTTGTGAATTGACCGTGGCCCATGGTGATAAACCCCATGGGTAATTTTGCAACTAAACCCATGGCACCCCCGTGCATTGCTGGCGGTTATCGGCATGCGCTGTTCAATTGCTCCAAAGCCAGGCCTGCAACAACGAGGGCCAATCACAGTGCAGCGCTCGGCATTGTGGGGCACGGGCGAGGGAAGGAGCCGACCTAAAGGGCTTCACCCAATTCATGCCGGGTCACTGGAGCACGGAGGAGAGTTGTAGGCCACTGGATGAGGTGTGCCGGGTCACGACACACAATCTGGGTTGCCGGGAGACCAGGAGGCGGCACGAGACTCAATGCCATGGCCACGGAGGGAGATGTGTACTGGACGTGGCGCGCTGGGCGCCGAAATAATCACCCAGACAGATGAGGCCAAACCTACGCCTTGGATCTCTACGCAGGAGGTGCGGGGGAGGGGGGGGGCCCAAGATTGGTCGCACAGCGCGTGCGGCCCCCTCTCGTCAATGAGCCAGGGGAGAAGAGTCCACGGCAGACTCACCGGGGTTCGTCTCTCTCCCTGCCCACAGTGTGGCACACTCACTGGGGTTCATCTCTCACTCCCTACCCACAGTGTGGCACACTCACTGGGGTTCATCTCTCACTCCCTACCCACAGTGTGGCACACTCACTGGGGTTCATCTCTCACTCCCTACCCACAGTGTGGCACACTCACTGGGGTTCATCTCTCTCCCTGCCCACACTGTGGCACACTCACTGGGGTTCATCTCTCACTCCCTACCCACAGTGCGGCACACTCACTGGGGTTCATCTCTCACTCCCTACCCACAGTGTGGCACACTCACTGGGGTTCATCTCTCACTCCCTGCCCACAGTGTGGCACACTCACTGGGGTTCATCTCGCGGTATTTCCCCACGCCGTACGCGTCCACGATGTTCTGGAAGCCCGACGTGAACTTGTTGGTGCGGTTGAAGGTGGGCGGCGCCAGCGTGGTGAACATGCGGTTGAGGATGGGCGGCACCGTGGAGTCGCTCTTGAGCTGCAGGGAGGGGAACGGCAGCAGCTGAGCTGGACGCTACAAGTGGACAACGTGAGGACGCAGCGACGCTCGCGCACCACAAAACACGATGGTAACAATTTACAGCGCTAAGTCATTCCGCAAGATGGATAAAGTCCCAAAGCCCCCCCCCCCTTCCAACCATACCGAGCGGGGGGGACGTTTCACCATACTTCACCACGCTGGTCAGCGCAGGTTGGCAAAGGGTGGGGGGGTGGGGGGTAACAAGACGGCTTCGGGCACCGCGCCGGATGAAACCCTCCCGGCTCACCGTGCCGCGGAGGAGGGCGCGCTGGATGGAGTCCATGTCCTCCACGGGGCACCACATCTCGGCGATGAGGCACTTCTGCGTGACGTCCACGTTGCACAGGTTGAGCGCGTGGTAGATGGCCTTCATCTTGCGCACCCTGACGGACCAGGCGGCCGAGCTGAGCGCCGCGTTGGACAGCGCCCGCCGCTGGTGCTCCTCCGTCTCGCCCAGCACCTGCGCGCGGAGCGCCGGGGGTGTCCGGAGGCAGGGAGGGGACGCGACCGGAGCGAGTTTGAGCGAAGGGGCCGCCATTGACGACGTCGCAAGGGCTCCTCCGGCGGCGCGCCGACGCGGCCGGCCGTCGCTCTGTGGCGTGGTTCGCGTTGGGCCCCTCCCCTCCCTCTCTGCCTTCACCCTTCATCGCAGTGCCTGGGCCCCTCTGGCCCCTGGCTCCCAGTGCGGTTGCACCGCCTACACCGCTATTATCTGGGCAGACCGAGCGCAAACGGTATTTCTGCCTGGGCACCGACCGCAGGCGTCATTCTCTTTGTCGTAAAGCCGCCACGTGCGGACCCTCCAGCTTATAGCAAACCCGGCCGAGCCATCGAAAAGATTGTTTTGTTATGAACGCCGAATGGAATTATGGGATATTTGCCCGACTTTAGTGGAGCGGCGGTGGAAGGGAGTTGTGGAGCGCGGGGAACTAGCGGCGCCGTCCGCGTACCGTCTGGATGTCCTCGAGACGCGTGGTCACGCCCTCCATCGTCTCCCTGCGCTCCCTCGGGGACTCCGGGCAGGGGTAGACGGTGGCACGGAACCTGGCGGTGAAGACCTCAGCCAATCACACACGAGAGGGGCCCACGAGCCGGATCGCATGCCTGGATCCCACGAGCCGAGGTGCGGCCCTGCTAATGCTCGTTCAGGCCACGGCCGGTCGAGAGCGAGCTCCGGACGGCACTCCGGACCGTTCGTTGGCCAACTTGAAAAATGCCTCCTCAACGCCGTGGAATAAAGAAATGCGGCGCACGATGTTACAAAATGCACGAGGACACCGCTGTGCAGCACATCACGCGGCGGAATATACCGACAACGGTAGATGGGCGTGTGGGTGGGTGGGCGCGTGGGTGGATGAGCGGGTGGGTGGGTGGGCATGTGGGTGGGCGTGAGTGGGTGCGTGGGCGGGAATGTGGGCGGGTATGTGGGTGGATGGACGCGTGGGTGGGGGGGCGGGCGTGTGGGCACGTGAATGCGAAGGACCGTCTCACGTCTCACCCCTCGCAGATCTTCTGGACCTTGCTCTTCAGCTGATCTCCTTGGAAAAACACGATGAAGACATCTTTCTTGAGAGGGTCACCCTGAAGGATAAAAAATAAGAAAGCATTACACCGCCATCATCACCATCACAACATCACCAACATCATCAACGTCGTCAGCCATGGCCATCCACTGCTGGATGAAGGCCTCCCCAAGCCAATCGAATGTAGCTGCTACGCACGAGCCGATTCCGGCACTCCGTCTCCACGGCGGTCGCCCCCACACGTCCCGCCCCCTCGCTCGCCCTGCCGCTCGGCGTCTCCCCCCACGCTTCTCGACACTTTCCACAAGAGCGACGAGTGGGCGCACAACGCGGCGCAGCTCGGGGCCCACGCGAGGCCGTGGGCCCGCACCGGGTGGCGGGGCCGCGGGCCCGTGAGGCCGCGGGGTCGTTGGACGGTGGGGCCCGCGTTGGGTGGCGGGGCCGCGGCGCCCGCGTGAGGCCTACCGAGACGGGGTCCTCCAGCTCCTGCTCGATCTCCGAGTGGCGCAGGAAGACGTTTCCCCGGCAAACGCGCCACAGCATTCGCTCAAACGGCGGCAGCCGCTCGCGGTTGATGACGCCCGCCACCGAGCTGCGGCCCGGAATTGGTGGGGGTTGGGAGCAGAGCGAAGAGTGGGGAGCGGAGAACAGAGAGCAGGGAGCAGGGAGCGGGGAGCGGGGAGCGGGGAACAGAGAGCAGGGAGCGGGGAGCAGGGAGCGGGGAGCGGGGAACAGAGAGCAGGGAGCGGGGAGCAGGGAGCGGGGAGCAGGGAGCGGAGAGCGGGGAGCAGGGAGCGGGGAGCGGGGAGCAGGGAGCGGGGAGCAGAGAGCAGGGAGCGGGGAGCAGAGAGCAGGGAGCGGGGAGCGGGGAACAGAGAGCAGGGAGCAGGGAGCAGGGAGTGGGGAGCGGGGAGCAGGGAGCGGAGAGCGGGGAGCAGGGAGCGGGGAACAGAGAGCGGAGAGCGGGGAGCGGAGAGCAGGGAGTGGGGAGCAGAGAGAGGAGAGCAATTTATGGATTTAAATAACAACTGTGCATTGTGGCCTCGGGGTGAAAGGTGCGATGTTTATATGTTGAATTTATTTCACACCGTGCGCAGCTAATCTCAAGTGCGGGGAAAGGATAACAAACTAAAAAGAAGTGTAAATTATTATTTAGAAGTGTCAATTATCATTATTAAATTATCAGCCCTTACCATCAGTGTTCTAATTATTCAACAACTCCTGCAACAGCACAAAACATCAGCACCGCCGCTTTGACACCCACAGTCGGTCCGAGCCGCTGAGGTCGTGACGGGGGTCACTGTCTTCACTGCTGTGGCCACACCGTTCCTGTTCTGCTGTAATGTACACCGATGCGAACTTTATTGAGGGCGATATTGGCACGTAAAATAAAGATCGATCGATTGACCCTGGACGCCCTTGCTAACGAGTTGTTTCCATCCCATGGGGCTATGCAGGCGAGGAAGTTCGAGAAGTAAAAAACTGTCCAACGCCTCGCTTGATAAACCGGGTGACCGATGGAAGGAGATCGTCCGTTGAGACTGAAAGCTGGGATCTAAGAACAACAGCAGCAGCAGCAGCAGCATCAGCAGCAGAACGGAGCCCTGGGCAGAGAGCGATCGTTCACCCCGGACAGCCTCACCGAGTCCCGAGACTGATTGTCCAGGAGGGGCCGTGTGCTTCCCAACCGAGTCATCAGCGGTGTCAAATTGCAAATTTGTCTGAAGTATCACTCCAGTCGATATATCATCGCACTTTTGAAAGGGCACTCCCGGCGGCAGCGGTCTCTTTGAGCACGATTTAGCACGTGACCTACCATCGGGCAGGAGTCGGCCAGCCGGGGACGATGATCGCCGCTCTGTGCGTCATCCCCAATAGTCGTTTGGGAGCGTTCACATTTGTTTATTTTGGCCGTGACGCCGGTCGCTGCGGTGCCTTAAACCCTTCTTCGAATGCCATCTCGGGATCTTCAACGGCCGCCGAGAAGTGGACGGCGTTTGATTACGTCAGGTTCCTGCCGCACCGCAGTATTCACCAGGGCAGCGCGAACCGCCGTGCTGCAGGCCGCGAGCGACGAGCACGCCACCGCTGAACGCGTACGAAACGATTTTGCCGAGAGAAGGAAGCGACGGCTCTCGGGGGCCTCCTACCCGAGTTTGAGTCCCGGGGCGGAGGCTGCGGCGGCGGCGGCGTTGGCGTTGGCCGGGTCGATGAGCATCAGCGTGTCGCCCGACAGGAAGTCCCTCGACTCCCCCTGGCGCACACCATGACCACCCCTTCATTATTATTGACCTTGGAGGAATCCGATAAGCTCCCAAGCTCTTTTTCCCCAGATGTCCACCGCCCTCCAGTGGGCGATCGCCGGAGGGGATCGCCCCGATCGCACGCGCGCGGCGATCCGTCCCTGTCCCAACGGGGCGATCGAGCGTCGTAAGAGGGGAGGGGCAGAAGGACGGCGGTGGGAGGGATGGCGAACGTGGGGAAGAAGCGTGGCGGATTCCAACGTTGTTTTCTCCGTGGAGTGTCCCTGACGAGCGTGGTGGGGTATCTATAAATGGCTCACCGGAGCCTACAGGCGGCTGTGTACTAAGTCGCCCGTTTACAAAAACGAGAGTTTGCAATTGCGTTGTTTTCATTACGTAATAATGATAATAATATTACTGCACGCATCCAAAAAAAATTACTGAAATTATTATTCATTCTTCCCAAATGTACTTAATAAAAACAAGCTCAACAATGGTCGTCGAGCGGCCACCGGCACCCTCGGGGTCCGTGGGGGTCACCCTCGGGGTCAGTGGGGGGGTCGCCCTCGGGGTCAGTGGGGGTCGCCCTCGGGGTCAGTGGGGGGTCGCTACCGGGGTCAGTGGGGGTCGCCATCGGGGTCAGTGGGGGGTCGCCATCGGGGTCAGTGGGGGTCGCCCTCGGGGTCAGTGGGGGTCGCCATCGGGGTCAGTGGGGGTCGCCCTCGGGGTCAGTGGGGGTCGCCATCGGGGTCAGTGGGGGGTCGCTACCGGGGTCAGTGGGAGTCGCCCTCGGGGTCAGTGGGGGTCGCCCTCGGGGTCAGTGGGGGTCGCCCTCGGGGTCAGTGGGGGTCGCCATCGGGGTCAGTGGGGGTCACCCTCGGGGTCAGTGGGGGTCGCTATCGGGGTCAGTGGGGGGGGTCGCTACCGGGGTCAGTGAGGGGGGTCGCCCTCGGGGTCAGTGGGGGGGTCGGTACCGGGGTCAGTGAGGGGGGTCGCCCTCGGGGGTCAGTGGGGGGGTCGCTACCGGGGTCAGTGGGGGTCGCCATCGGGGTCAGTGGGGGTCGCTACCGGGGTCAGTCGGGGTCGCTACCTGGGTCAGTTCGTGGGAAGTGTTGCCGGCTCACCGAAGCGAAGTACGGCTCCGTGTGGTGAAGCATGTGCCGCAGCTCGGTGAGCTCCAGGAAGTTCCGGCGCAGCGTCACCTTGTTGGTGCCGATCTCCTTGAGCTCCGTCTCCAGGCGCTCGAACGTCGCCTGCGCCCAGGCACCGTGGCGCACGCGCAGCGCCGCCAAAGCTCCACAGGGTGCTTGTGTTGTAGCCCAAACGTCGTGAGAATTTTATTTCATTTTATTACTTCCCTTCTACGTGGTGGTGACTTTACCGAAAGAACCAAGAAGATGAATCCCTGCAGTCACGAAAGCTTTAAATCAAAACTCCCCAGGGTGGCCCGCACGGACCGACGGGGCGAGTGCCGCTGGCGAGCGACGGTACCCACGGAAGCCGCCACGGCACGCGGTGCTCTCACACGCGCTGTGTTCACACGCGCGGTGTTCACACGCGGTGCTCTCACACGCGCTGTGTTCACACGCGCGGTGTTCACACGCGGTGCTCTCACACGCGCTGTGTTCACACGCGCGGTGTTCACACGCGGTGCTCTCACACGCGCT